TACTGATTGCTGAGTCGAGAAGCCTTTGCTCTCGGCGACCTGTAAAAGCGCTCCGTGCGCCGTCGTCCATCCTTTGGTGGAGGGCACAGGGTTGAGTGAACAGAGGCCGTCGAACTCGGCAGCTCTCCGGAGGGGTGATCCTGGTTGGCAGGTCTCGACGAAAGGCGAGACACCCGCTGTCCCGGTTGGGCCGAACCGCTCGGGGGCAACCCGGCGCAGGCCAACAAAGCCGACCAGCTCGGCTATTGTTGTGTTTGTAGCCAAGTTACCACAACTGACGATTTTGTGTGTACTGCTATACCACATAGAACCGTTCATCTTGAAGGAGATGTAGAACGTTTTCATGTCCATACCGGCGCTGTAGCTAATTTGGCTGATTATCAAAGTCCACCACGGCAACAACTTGTTGAAGGCTTGTAATAAATCTCCCTTGGACTTCTCTAGCCACCTCTTGCACTTGGAGTGTATACCCTCAACGGTTGAGGTATCGCGATTCCCAAAATGAAGGTACTGCGACGTCCAGCAGGCCACGATCTTGTACTTCCACCGGTGGGCATCCAGATATCCCGCCAATTCAGCGTTCATCTGGCGGGGCAGCACTCGATTCGCCTCAAAGTCAGCCTCCGTTTTGGAATCAACCGTGGTGTGGTACAGCTCCATGAAATGGAACACTGTTCTCGTAGGTATCCTGTCCAGGCGCAGGGTTGGCGACCTCGACTTGTCCTAACACTGTTCGTGCATTTGCAGGAACATTGCGGTTCATGTGCCAGCGACAGACAAGAGATGGAACGTCAGGAAAGATGCTTCCGATCGTGTTCATACACGCGAGGTCCCGGTCGGTGAGCAAGACCGTAGGCAGCGATATCCCATGCTCAGTCATAAGTGTCTGTAACTGCTCCAAAGCCCACACGAAGTCCTCTTCCTTCTCCCCCCCCGGTAATCAACACTGGGCTACAGGTAAGACCTTGTTCATATTTGTCATTGCGATAATATTCAGCAGCGGCAAGTCGTACATGTTGGTCTTGTAGGTGCAGTCCTGGATCAAAACTTCAGGATACAACTTGTAAAACTTGACAATGTCGGGGTGAAAGATGCCGAAATCTGTTCGTGTCCGTATCCACGTCAAACTTGTAAAAATAAACTTGTGCTCGTCCAGCCGCTTGAACAATGACTCAATCGATATCTCGGTCGCCAAATCCTCGTGCCTCTGCGCATGGTTTCGGTTCGAGATATCTTCGTCGTCACTGATGACGTGGGGTCCGCCTGCAAAATAGTCGCCGCCACAACTTCAGGAGATACACCGACTGCGGTTTGTGACGCCACTAAATCCGCTGATGAAATCTGTGCCGATAGATGACGTTCCAAGTCACGCCTTCAATGTCCTAAGTGTACACTGATGGAGGGTGGTTGTGAACACAAGATCCTTGAGATGCACAATTTTCCACTTCCCATCACATTTGTGCGGATCGCTTGTTTCAAGTCGAATTTTCATGATACAGCCGACCTTGGACGATCCTCGCTTGGGCTGACGCGATCCTCCTCGCGTAGCTTGCGCGTGTTTTGAGGTTTTCCATAGCGATCACACTGGTAGTCCCGCTGCCGGAACTGTTCGTCCTTGTTTTTCTTGTTGTGTGCTTTGATTACATTGATTCCGTTGGCGCGGTTCCAGGCGTTTAGCGCTTGTTAAGCAGCATCAAGTGACGCGAATTCTTGCTCGGGTAGAGGCAGTATCTCAAAGCTTGGCTCAGGGGTTGCAGCCATTTTGGAGAATGAAGCGAACACGGGAAGTAGACTTGCACATTTGCAATCGATCAAACCCCCAAGCTGAAATTAGAATAGAATCCGCTCTAGACAGAATTAGACGCTTTCTTATCGCTCACGTACTCTTATATGAAATGCAGCAGCACTTATTGTGAAAACCGGCAAAGATGTCCAGACCAGATTAGCTTGATTAGGAGGGGTAGAAAATATATAAAAAGGGGTATGCCAAATCCTAAATCGCAGGGTTGGTCGTAAACCGTCCATGTGCAAATCCCTATCAAATGCTAATGAATGCCTTAGCTTCCTGAGCTATATAAATGGCCGCAGAGGTGCACTGCATCGTGCAGCGGGCTAGAGCGAGCGTAAAGCAGCCACTCGTGCTAAATTTCAGCCCCGTGAATACTTCAGAGGCAGACACATATTGCATGTACCCATCGGGTGTTTCATGTAAACGGCAGAGTCGAGTTTGCCGTCCATATTGACATGGGGGGTTCAGCAAGGCGATTTGAAAACGGTGGTTCATCGAGGGCTTTTCTGTAATTGGCGATAAATCAAGTCAAAAGGACCATGCCTACAAATTGCTAGACTTTCTCAGTACCCGATGGGCTGCATGCAGCTCTGCGTGCAAATGAGACTTCGAGAGGTAGTTCTGGGACAACGTGCAGATTCTGCGTGGCCTGAGATAAGAAAGCGGTGACGCCTGCGCAGAGTTCAGAGACCAAGTGTAAATCGCTGGCATCCACTACATACGCATAGCGGCGTCGATTGTGCTCCATCTAGTCGACATTGACCTCGTCGTGCGTCTTCTCCATCGGCGCTGTCGCGCTGGGCCCGATTAGCGGAGCCATGCACTTGTGTTTGGCGGCCTGGTGTTGTCGTCGCCGCCAAGTGCGGGGAAGACGGGCCCGCAAATTTAGTATACATTCCAAGGCCAAGTAACCTACGACGCTCTTTGCAAGCAATGTATTGCGTGCATATAGTGAGGCTGGTAGGCTTGTGTTAAGAGGTCGACTATTCACGTAGGCTGGTAGCCACCATTACCACCGCTGCGAGTGGGATCCCCCCCCCGCCTGGCTGATCAAACTACAAACTTGTAATGCGCTGAACTACATCGAGTACAGGTACTCGGTTAACAGTGTAACAACCTGTGCCCCCAATAACGAAACCATTTTACGCAGGTTAGTGATACATCGCCAGCCACCATTATACAAGTATGAACAAATAATAACATTGAGGTACGCCTACTAACAAGTAGCCACCGACCAAGTTTCTTACCGTGGGTCTACCGGTCGCGGATTGTGAGTTTAACTGCATGGAATGCCACACTTCTCCTCGGCATGTGAAACCATTGGCGGGAACCCGGGTTCCCGCAAATGATACCGACCAAATCGCGAATTATTTATTTAATTTTCGGCCATCATATTGGTACCGTTGGGGCAAGTTAAACCATCAAACTCGATGAAAGAGTTCCCACTAATCTGTCACCGGTACTGAGTAGACCTGAATAACGTACTTTACCATCTCAAAGTCCACCTTACGTGAGCAGGAGGTTAGCAATGTGGCCGGAAAGCCCTCTACCGCTGTACCAGGCAAGAGTCTGGATTTTCATGAGAGACACAGGACGGGAGCAAAGACGAATTCACCTTAAGCTACGTTCAACGTAGGTCATAGAACAACACTCCAATACATTTGATCATACATGGGTACCGGTAGTTTTGGGGAAACCGGGGTCCCGATGGGTACCCGGGGTCCCGATGGGTACCCGGGTTCCCGCCAATTGTTTCATGTGTGCACGCCTGAACAAAACCACTCTGGGCATGCCACTAGAATACGAAGAATTATGTTTCAATCCCGTTATATGTCATTTCCACTGTTGCTGCTGGTACGAAGCGAGTGAATGCGCTTATAGCGGTGCGTGAAGGCGAGCACAGGTGCGGAATACAGCGTTGGTTGTCTCCCATGCATCGCCGTGACGTACGAGTGTCCTAGTTTTTCTGGTGTACACTACAAATCGGCAGACTGCCGCTCACAGGAATACATATAATAGCCTCGACTACTCTTGCACAAGTACCTGATAGCGCTCCTCGACCATGCCAGCTCCGACGGCCAGCTCGTGCTCCAGCGACCCGCCAAGATGCACGCCCAATATGTCCTGAAAGTTGTAAATGCCGCGGTTTACAGTGAACAGCCGACGCTGCAAGTGGACGGCATACTATACACTATGCCAGGCATAGTAGAGTAGCGTGAAGGCCCCGACGACGGCTGAGGGGGAAGAAGATGGACGGCTTATCGTGTCTGGGTTCAGTTGAGGTACAGCCCGGATGTGGCCGGCATCGGCCAGGATGCCGTCGCAGTACTGGACGTCGCTGCTAATGCAAACTCGATAGATCACCACGGTCTCAGATCTGTTCTCGCCGCGGCTGTCTCGGTGACACGCTTGAGTTCCTAACGGACTGACAGAACGATAATATGGTGAGCGCAACATCAAATTAGAAGTACAGATATACGTTGTTCTGCCTTGTATCATAGCAACCTATCTAGCAAAAGTGCTTGGGGTCGTTTTGTGCTGTGCTGTGACGCACAGCACCCGCAATCGCTCGATCTGTTCCTAGCCATGCTCTCGGAAGAGCAATTGGCGCCGCTTCATTCCCGTTTGTCCAGCCTCGCAGCTCCACGGGAACCCCAAGTCACCCGTGAACGTGTCCAGCATGACCTCCCCAGCCACGGTATTATTATGCGCTGAACGTCTCCGGCAGCATGCCGATAGACGCCTAGGTGCAACGTGATTCAGAGCTACAGCACTAACTAACACGTAAAGAAACTTGATGGACGACCGAAGTCCTCACGGTACACTTCCGTCGTGATGCCCTCGCTGAACCTACTCTGTTATGCAAATCCTCGACGAACCACCCTTTTTTTGCGGTCCTTGACGAACCGCCACGATTACACGATGATAAGCCCGTCCCAGGCTAAGTTAGCGTTAGCCGCTAACGCACAAGCTGTGTCTTGTGCCACAACCGACTCAGCTGAGCTCTAGGAATCCTAGTCCATGGAACCCGTTCTTTCGTGCGGCGAGAGGAGTCGACAACTTCAACGGCAACGCAGCACGCAGAACGGGAACCACGCATCAATGATGGAGTTGATTAAAGCTGTTAACTGAGCATCACCAAGCTGGACTCGCCCTTGTCTCCCTGCTACATGTACACGAAACAATATGCATACAGTGTTCCACAATTACCCTACATGCTGTACATTTTCATCTTGAAGAAGACCAGGATGGTCAAGGCGCTCATGATGCTTGCAATTCCCCCGACAAACACCGGCAGCTTGTACCCGAGCGACATCTGCACCAGCCCCGTGCCGATCGCAAAGTTGAGCAGTTGACCGAAGCAGTTGGCCGAGTTTAAAGACCCGACGAAGACTCCGATCTCCTGGTCCTCGCCGAAGACGTGGATGATCACGGGGACGACGAGTCCGAACCACACGGTGTGCGTGATCCCTGCGATGGCGACGACGAAGACGTCGAACGCCGCGTTGTCGACCCACGCCATGACCGCGAACAGCACTTGGGGCAGCGTGAAGATGACGAGAACCCGCTTGACGCCGATCTTGTGGACCATGTACGGCAAACCCCAGGCGCACACGTACCCCACAATGTTGTACAGAAGGTCGGCACGGCCTCCAGCGATGCTCACGCCGTGGTTGTAAGCCTCCTGCTCAGCGGTGCAGGGGTCGCAGGTGTCGGCATTCTGAGACTCGCCGCCGTACACCTCCAGGCCGAAGAACTGCCCCTTGTTGCCGTTGTAGGCTGCGTAGCCGTACTGCGTGAAGAAGAAGGCCACCCAGTAGACTGCCAGCACTGCGGGGAGTCTCCGGATGCCATAGTACACGGAGGTAACAGCGTGCTTGACTCGATCACAAGACGCCCCCGCATCCACTGCGCTAGGGGGTAGCGGCGTCTCTTTGGCGAAGATCACAGCGACACCGACGCTAATGAACATGACGACGGACAATATCCCCATGAACGAGTGCAGCGTCTTGTACGCCGCCCCGAAGAACTCGATGTAGCCCGCAATGAGGATCGCCCCCAGAGTCGCCCACGCTTGGCCCAGAGCTGCGCCCGTGGTCTGTCGATCTCCAGCAAAGTCAGCCACGAGCAGCATGGCTGGAGTATACACAGTGTTGACGGTGATGTCCATCCAGAAGTAGCACACCACAGTGAAGATGATGGTCCAAGTGCGGTCGGCCTCCTCGCCGTCCGCCCCGTCGCCGACGTCGCCCAGAGCTTCCCCCATTTCTCGCGTGTAGCCCATGACGGTCCAGCAGACAATGCTGAGAGCCCCGGCGATGATGAGGAACGGCCGACGTCTGCCCATTTTCATGGTGCACCGGTCGCTGAAGGCGCCGGCAGTCGGCCCCACGAGGACACCGACGGTGGGGCCGATGAACTGTGCGATCTGGACGGCGTACCGTGGCATCATCGTGGACAGATAGGGCCCCAGTACCGCCCACTGCGCCGACCACGTCATTTGGATCGCCATTCGAGGCATGGAGATCGCCAGCAGCAGCCACAAGGACGGGTGAGACGACGGAGGCGGCTTGTCCTCAGCTCCCTGAACGCTTCCTGGCTTGGGCGAGGCGAGGCGTACAAGTCGTAACCTTGCTCATAGTCCCTCATCTTCCGGAGTGAACGATCTTGAGGAGCTTTGAATGCTGCTTGGGCTAGCGAGAAGAATTCGTGAATGGCTTCGAGACTCGGACCGAGTTGAGACCAGATCTACAGACCGATCCATGTCCTTGTGCGAAAGGCAACGTTAGCTGCAAGACGTGTGCTACATGTTCGTGTTCATGGCCCCCCATGCCAACAAGGGCGAGCGGATGCGAACGCGAGTACAGCCACGGGTTGCCAGCACCTGCCAACTCCACACTCTGTGCATTGGTGCGAGCTGACCGATATTTTGTTTTGCTTGGCACCGCAGACGAGGACTGAGACGAGGACTGCTCTTGTGTTAAACGGATGGCGCTTAGCGTTGATGAGTGGTTCCACTTGGTGAAAGAACTCATCTCCACCGGTCGACAGGTTGAACTGCTGTGCACGAACTAATCCACGGTACGGATACAGTGTGCATTAGTCCGGTGTCTGCATGGGGGTAAGCCTTGGCATTCGACTAATGTTTTGGCTGAGCTGGCGACGGCTATCGGTCCGGTTGTTCAAGTCCAGGCAGCATCGCGATGGTCGTTCACGCTGTGGGCTCACGTCTTTTGATGGAATCGCTAGAAACCCGATCTGTGCCACCGACGGCTTGAAGAGGCGCTCGCTCCACAGTGCCCAAGCACAGAATCATTTGGCCAGGATCTATTACCATGGCGTTCCGCTGCGTTGGGAGCCCGCTGGACGAGATGAAGCGGCTGGAGAAGATGCGGGAGCAGGATCCAGAGTCTGCCGCCAACCTCGTGGCCAACGGGAAGCTGCTCGTCGATTTCGTGCACGAGGGGAATTTACGCGCTCTGCAGTGTGCAGCGGAGCACCTCGAGGAGGGGCAGACCCTCATCTTCTACGCCGTGCGGATGTTCCGGGAGGCCTGCGCTTCAAAGCGACTCGACATCCTGCGCTTCTTGCTGCTCAACGGCTTCGATCTGCAGCAGAGCTACATGAGAGACGTCCTGCACGGGGTCATTGAGAGCATCGACAGCCCTCAAAGCGCAGACGCAGTACAGCCGCTTATTAGGTTTCTGCTGGATGCTGGAGTCGATGTCAACTGGCAGAGGAAGTCGGACCTGTACACCGCTCTACACGTGGCTTGCTGCAACAACCTGTACCCCATCGCGTACCTGCTCGTCCTGTTTGGTGCCGACGTGAACGCCATCGCTGCGGTGAGTCGCGTTGCCCTTTACAGGCCTGTTCTCACTTCTCACCCTTCTGTCTATGCTTGTCATGTTGGCAGGATGATGCTATGCCGCTTGCCTGCGCGAATATTATCGGGCGCGCAAGTGCCTTGTCGGAAGCCGAGCAGACCCAGAAGGAATTGCTCGTGTCGTTTCTGCTGGAAAACCAAGCGCGGGCAACGTGGAGAAGACAACCGCACCGAGTGCCAACCCCAACTACTCCTGCGACTACCTGGATGGAGCATACAAGCTCGTCGAGCCCAGGGAGCGTGGAGGCTGCAGCAGACCAAGTCAAACGGCCGATCTTGAGCTTCTCCAGCAGCTTTGGGATTCACTGCAGTATTGATGAGTCAGCGGAGAACCAGCACCACGAAGGCATCATGTTCGACACGTCCGACTCTCCTGAATGCCTGTAGTAGCTTGAAGCTGCCGCAAAATGGGATCGATCAGGAGCAAAAATATCGATGCGGGTTGTTCGTCCATTTGTGTTCCTGCGTATACTTAGATCATTACCACTACAGTAGTTCTTGCAGCTTTATCAGAAATTCGACAACACGCGGCATCAACCATGTCGTACAGCCTCATCGAGGCAAAGTTCCAGGTGCTGGATCGCACGATCAAGATGATGTCCAAGTCGAAGAGTCTTCGCACGCCTCGAGTAGCGTCGACAGAGCAGCTTCGCGAGATTGTGGAGACCCAGAAGCCAACCGCTCTGCTGCCGACGTTGAAGCCAGTGGGAGGAGCTGTCACGAATCCCAGGAAGACAAGCCGATCCCAGCCAAATACTTCTCGCGAAGAGAAGTCAGGCCCCAAGGCAGGAAAGGACTCCCCATCACGTCCTAGCACTGGACGAAAAGAACACCATGAATACTCGACCGAATACGTACCAGACAAATGGATTGATCCGAAGCAACACCGAGCAGAACAGCTTTTGCAGGACACGTGGCATGTACGTTCTTGTTCTTGTCGCTGTCGATTTCCTTTTCGATCAGTACTCTTAAGAGATTTTTTTTGCAGGAAATTGAGTCTGCAATAAATTGGAGCAGAGCTTTGGATTCTCCCAGTCGAGAGGTGTGTACTCAAACACGGCATTGAAATGTTTGATTACGGAGCTTACACATTCCATAGGTGCTTCGATCCAGATTGCTCGACGAAAGAGTGCAGTATCAACACCAGGAGCGAAAGCTCGAATCAGGTGAGCGTGCACAGAGCCAAGCTCAAGACGTGGACAACCAAGCGTACGAAGATCCAGGTAGGCCGCCTCAGCTCGAGCTACGCACTATTTTCCTCCATATAATGGTCTGTTGGCGCTCTTGGTGGTGGCTTGCAGACTCGCCGAGTACTGCCGTGCGTGGTGCTATGCCTCCCCCTAGGCGGCCGTTGACTTCAACAGGTCTTCAGCCAAAGCAGAGCAAAGTTCACTTGAGCGTTCGATGCCGGTCGGCGTCGCTCAACAGTTCGGACTACCAAGCGAGAAACTGGTTTGTTCCTTCCGCGCTTGAGGCAAACCAACGGGCTGCTAAGCCGAAGCGCAAGATTCCTCGTCAGCACTCTGTAATAACAACCAGGAACTATCTCAAACAGAAAACAAAACCCACCAAGCCACCGGCGCCGCCACGAGCCAAACCCCAGCCCAAACCGAAACGAAACGAGGTTGAAATTGCCGGAGAGTCGATAGAGAAGCGTCAAGCTCGCGCACCAAAAGCTGAAGAACCAGCAAAGGAGGACCCACTCTCCATGCCGAAAGCCGACGATCTGTCTTTCTACATGCTGGAGCTTCGACTAGTCCACCCGGAACCTTTGACGGAGTGGAGATTTCAAGCGTCTTTCGCCGACACGTCCGTTATCCCCGCCAGGACTGTCATCCTCGACGACCTCACCGTGAGATCTGATCATTAGCTTGGTTTTGGCGTCAATTCTGCGGTACTAACGATTTCTCTTACACTTTACAGGTGGATGAAGACAACTTTTTGCTGTTTGATTCCGCACAAACCTCAGACATCCCGGTCCCGTCACGATATTTTAACCCGTTCGTGTATTTCCCCGGGCTTAGTCGACCTAGTGATGTACGTACTGTTCAGTTGGTTGTACACTTCTCGATGCTAAGTTTCGCGTTTGTGTATTACAGCTATATGGACATGTTTTGCGTATCATCGTGACGTCCATCAAACCTGTCACGCGCATCGTGATCAACACCTCGGTGCAGTTCACTCTTACGCCAGACGAAGCTGTGGTAGAGCCGGCCGCCGATTCCATCCGCAAGCACTCGGAGGCCGTGGCGAGTCAAGAAGCCAGCCTCTTGAAGGTTCTTACCCGACGCAACAGCTCTTCTACGTCCATTTCTCAGAGGAGGAGAAAGAAGAAGACACCCAAGGAAAAACCAAGAACGAAGCAGTCGAGACCAGTTCTCCAAAGCAACCACGTCGAGAGCACCGCCAGCCTGGCGATGGACCAGTGCAGTCCATGGAGCGCTGGTGAGCAGGATGACCCCACTTCGATCACTGACACCACACCAGTGCCAATACTAGGGCAAATGATCACGTTGCAGTTGGAGGACCCTCGATCCCCGCCACCGATTGCGTCCCCTCAAAAGGGCCCCACAACGGAGCACCTCGGAAAATCTCCTCGACTGCCCATGACTACCATCGACAAGAAAAAGATGCAGTTGCAACACCTGCGCACCAGTATGCGAGTACGTCGCTGCATTCGTATCTTGCTATCAGGTCACTATGGACTAATTGGGGTTCTTTGTGTTGGTACTGCGCAGAGAGAAATGCTGCGCGAGGAGGAGGTCGACTGCAACATGTAAAGGGGTGTAGCCATCTCTCTATACTAAGTACGTCGGAACAAAACTCATACCTCGTTTAATTATCTGTCCCCACTAAGTATACATCGAACGCTTCTAGTTTCAATAAAGTATCCACCAAAACGCCCGAGCTGTTCATATTGGAACTGGAACAGTCGAGCAGTGCCCCCCAGTCGTCGTTGCCCGCTCCGCTTCTCCGCCGCGCACAGCCCGCTCCTTCCGCTGCGCCCGCTCTAGATCATATACGCACCGCTCTCTCCTCGCTGCGAACCGCGCGGAGATTCCTCTTTTTGACGCCGTAACAGCCAGTCCGCGACCATGGAAGGCCAAGTGGTGGAACTCACGGAGGCCGAGCAGGCCCAGCACCAGCTGCAGATGGAGCAGCAGCTCAAGTCCTTCTGGGCCAAGCAGCTCCTGGAGATGGAGCAGCTCGAGGTCGGCAGCGAGCAAGGTAGGCGCTGTGGATGTCGAGAGAGATAGAATGATTGTACTGTCTAGTTATAATTATTTATTATTGTTCTGTTATTATTTATTTGCTATTGACGGACGACAGACTTCAAGAACCACAACGACCTGCCGCTGGCGCGCATCAAGCGCATCATGAAGTCGGACGAGGACGTCCGTATGATCAGTGCCGAGGCGCCCGTGCTGTTCGCCAAGGCCTGCGAGATGTTCATCCTGGAGCTGACGCTGCGCTCGTGGGGCTACTCGGAGAAGAACAAGCGGCGGACGCTGCAGAAGGAGGACATCCAGACGGCCATCAGGAACACGGACATCTTCGACTTCCTCGTGGACGTTATCAACTAAGCGGGCGTCGGAATTGGACGGCCGACGGGACTTTTGAGGTCGAGTCGAGGTGGCAATCGGTTCTTTTTAGACGGGTTCAGACCAGACACGCGAAGAAGAGGAAGAGATATTGCACCTGTGTGAGTCCGAGAGAGCTGTTCAAGCGATCGCGAGGCTGGTGGAGGTGCACATAGCTAGTAGGCTTGCATCAATGCAATGTTCAGACCAATCGAATGTTACGCGAAGGTCGTTTCTACCGTTTCACATTCGCACAACCTTCATGCCACGTCATCAAATGTAGCCATCTTTCACGTTGAAGTTTGGATGTGTCATTCCCCGCTTGCCGTCGTCCTTCCTGCAGAGCAGCTCCATCATCAGAAGAAATGCATCAAGTGCGCTCGCTGTCGACCCGCGTCAAGGCGCGCGTGGGAGTCATCGGCCTGGGCCAAATGGGCGGCCGCATGGCCGACAACCTCCGCAAGCACGGCCACAAGCTCGTCGTGTGCGACCCCGTGCCCGCCAACGTGCAGAAGCAGGTGGACCAGGGCGGCGCCGTCGCCGCCGCCACGCCCGCCGAGGTGGCCGAGCAGTGCGACACCATCGTCACCATGCTGCCGTCCACGGCCATTGTCGAGAGCGTCTACCTGGGCGACAGCGGCGTGCACGAGGCGCTGCGCGACGAGCACCTGCTGCTGGACTCGAGCACGATCGACCCGATCTTCACCAAGAAGCTGTCGACGGAGCTGCACGCGCGCGGCGCGACGTTCGTGGACGCGCCGGTGTCTGGCGGCGTGGCTGGCGCGCAGAACGGGACGCTGACGTTCATGGTGGGCGGCGAGCCGGAGGAGTTCGAGCGCGTCAAGCCGCTGCTCAAGGCCATGGGCAAGAACCTCGTGTACTGTGGACGAAGCGGTACGGATGATCTCACGTTGTCACTGAAGGAATTGTATATGGTCTGTAATGGTGGTGTTTATCTACATTATACTAGCTACGGGCCAGGTCGCCAAGTTGTGCAACAACCTAGCTGCAGCAATTCAGCTCACGTCAGTCGCTGAAGCCACGAACTTGGGTGTGGCGTTGGGGATCGACCCAAAGGTGTTGGCAAGGTGCGTTAAACACTTTGTTCTGCGTGGGGGAGTAATCTCGTCTAACTCTAGTCCTCAATCGCTTGGCTCTGTTGCTTTACGTGTACTTGTACTTCAAGCGTGCTGAACTCGTCAACCTCTCGCTGCTGGTCTTCTGTTGCGTACGTTTAGTACATACTAATCTCCATCGGCCTGACCAAGTGCACGTAGTACCTGCCAAACTGACCCAATACTTTCGTATGCGTGTAGGAATCACCCATACCCAGGCGTGATGCCGAGCGTGCCCGCCTCGGACGGATACGAAGGAGGCATCGCCGTGCAGCTCATGCGCAAAGACCTCGGCCTCGCTTCCTCTTGCGCGATGCAGGCCGAAGTCTCGGTGCCTCTCACGAACTCCGTCCTGCAGCTGTTCAACATGATGGTGAACCAAGGCAACGGCCACAAGGACTTCGCCTACATCCTCCCGTTCCTCCGAGGCGGCAACTCCAACCCATAACACCGGAACAAGTAAATATGTGCATGTATCAATTGCAATCCTACATGTATCTTGCTGGATGCAGTGTGAACTTGCAGCAGGGCAGGCAATTCATGGTGCTGCCCATCAGCCCACAGCGTCCTGCATCAAGACAACCGCGCTGATGCAGGCCCCTGGCGTCGTACTTAGCGGGGGCACGGTCGCCACGTTCCCCAACTTGAAGTTACGAGGAGCTCCATAAGCTGATCGAGTCAACGCGTCATTCGCCATTCCGTCCGGTGTCTGCCAAGCCCCCGCCCACTCTTCCCCGCTAATTCCAATGCTGCGCACGACCTTCCTCCGCTCCTCGCAGGCGCTCCGCTGCTCGCGCGCGCTGTCCTCCGTCGCGTCCAAGGACCAGGTGGGCGTCATCGGCCTGGGCCAAATGGGCGGCCGCATGGCCGACAACCTCCGCAAGCACGGCCACAAGCTCGTCGTGTGCGACCCCGTGCCCGCCAACGTGCAGAAGCAGGTGGACCAGGGCGGCGCCGTCGCCGCCGCCACGCCCGCCGAGGTGGCCGAGCAGTGCGACACCATCGTCACCATGCTGCCGTCCACGGCCATTGTCGAGAGCGTCTACCTGGGCGACAGCGGCGTGCACGAGGCGCTGCGCGACGAGCACCTGCTGCTGGACTCGAGCACGATCGACCCGATCTTCACCAAGAAGCTGTCGACGGAGCTGCACGCGCGCGGCGCGACGTTCGTGGACGCGCCGGTGTCTGGCGGCGTGGCTGGCGCGCAGAACGGGACGCTGACGTTCATGGTGGGCGGCGAGCCGGAGGAGTTCGAGCGCGTCAAGCCGCTGCTCAATGCCATGGGCAAGAATCTCGTGTACTGCGGTGGCAGCTGTAAGTATTGCAGTTGTGGTTGTATTGGGTGAAGGATGCTCTGCTAATGTGTGTGATCTTTGCGTAGCTACCGGCCAAGTCGCCAAGCTGTGCAACAACCTGGCGCTGGCCATTCAGATGGCGTCCGTGGCGGAGGCCATGAACCTCGGTACGACGCTGGGCATTGACCCCAAGATTCTCAAGAACATCATGGACACGTCTACGTCTTCGTGCTGGTCGACTCTTGTGTAAGTTGAAGTGGTGCAAATCTCACTGTGGCCAATGCTGACAGAGCTGTGCTTGTCTGTGTACTCTTATGATAGCAACCACCCATACCCGGGTATGATGGAGAACGTGCCGGCGTCGAACAACTACGAGGGAGGTTTTGCCGTTGCACTGCACCGGAAGGACCTGGGACTGGCCATGGACTGCGCCAAGCAGGCCGAAGTGTCCATCCCTTTGACGTGCCAGGTGCACCAGATCTACAACATGATGGTCTCGAGCGGCCACGGCAAGAAGGACTTCAGCTACCTGCTCCCGTACCTCAAGAACGGCAAGTAGACGTGAGAGATGAGATAACCAGGTAGCTTTGGCTGCCGCAATTCTGTGTGATGTCGACCCGTACCTTCACGCAACAAAAACAACAAAATGAATTACGCATTGAAGGTCATCTTAAAAGCAGTTCATTCCTGGTGCAGCCTCAGTTACTGGCCTAGCGCAGCGTCACGTTCGGTCTGCTTCACCATATCGCCGTCGATCTTGGCCACCTTGGGGATCCGCTTGAGCACGTTGAGTCGTGCATCTTCCTTGCTCAGGTTTTCGTAGATGGGGTTGCCGGTGAACAGAACATCGCGTAGCTTGGGGAGACTCGCCAGCTTGTCGAGTTCGTCCCAACTTTTGACCAGGTTGTTGGACAGATAGAGCGTCGTGAGATTCGTGAGCCCCGAGAGTCCGTCCAGCGTTGCGATGACGTTGTACGACAACCAGAGCTCTTCCAATGTGTCCGAGACATCGTCCAGCTTCTCGATTTTCTTGATCTGGTTCCGGCCGAGTGACAAGATGCGCAGCTTCTTCATCCCGGACAGAGGAATAAGGCGGTCGATAGCGTTCGTGGACAACGACAACTGCCTGCAAACCCACGTAGTTAGTTAAGATATTTGCAACTGTGATCCGTGGAAATGCTGTCGTACTCGCAGTTCTTGAGGGTGTTGAGCGAGTTGTCGAGCTTCGCGATGGGGGGCATCTGGCAGTACAGTTTGATCACAGCCGATTCCTCCGCCGAGGCCGAGTTCTTGGCCTCCTACAGGAAGGAACCAACAAAACAACAGTCAAAAACTTACACTTGCAAAAGCCGACTAGGATGGTGAGACGGCTTACCCACGCCTTGATCGCCTGCGCGCACGTAGTCTATAGAGAACAAACACAGAAGTCGGTCAGTACTAGGTAATGCCTCTGAGCTTCTCAAGCAGAGAGCATCAAGTTCGTACCATTGTTGCTCAATTTGTGATTAAGTTTCTAGCTTTGCGCTGTCTTCGTGGAGATTTTTGTCTAGTGGCGGAGGATCGCGACTTGCGGGTCGCGACGCTTCATGGTCGTCCTCGCCTTTAACTGGTTCGACCGAAGCGTCGATGATGACAGGCTGCGTTGGGTCAGGGGCAGGCGGCCTCTTCCGGGCCTCCATACATCTCTTGCGCTGCCTCCGAACAAAGTCTAACTCGACCTCCGTCCGCTCGAAGTGGTAGATCAAGTGCCGCACTCGTTTGTCAAGCTGATCCACCAGAGGGACCACGAAATTAATCGGAGCGTTGATCTTCCGACACAGCAGCTCTAGCAAATTCTCGTACGCGGGATGGAATGCGGTGCGCAGCTTATCTCCGTTGTAGTTAGGGTAGAAGAACCCGTCGTGGTTGTTGTTGCCGCTGTCCGCGGAATCGGGATTGGTTTCTCGAGAGCGCAGAAACTCCACGCGCCTCTCAATAGCCTCGTCGCTCTCAGCTAAAACCCCGTCGACGTGGATGGCAGGGTAGGCGTAGATACTATTCTGCTTGAGCTTGCCCTGGTCTGGAGTGGACAACTCGTCCGTCTTCTCGATATTTCGTAGATGACTAACGTGCTCCTCCAGTTCTTCAGGGACACCAGGGCGATCAGGGTCCACGAACGCTTGTCTAGCGAACTGAGTGAATGCCTTGAGGTCTCGTCGGGGAATAGCCCAAGCTTGGTGAATAGAGGCGAGGGGCGGGGCTTTGCGCTTCGTCTCTTCATCATCGTCATCGTCTCCCTTTTCTTCCTCCTCCTCTTCGTTGTGCTGTTTCTCGTAGATCCACTCGTGCCAATTCGCACACATCTTCACCGCCACCACTAGGTGGGCCGCAATGCCAATCTCAGAGTGAATAATCTCATGTACTCTGGCTTTGTCTTCCTCAGTAGGACGACTGAGCCGGGGTCTGCTCATGGGCTCGAACTGAAGCAAAAGTGGCGGCTCAGGCTGGTCCCCAGTCACATTCATGAAGCCTGTGATCCACTGGAAGTGGCGGAATACTTCTGCAGGGAATCCCATGGAAGCACAAATGCGGTGGGCAGCTAGCGGCACGTTCAGGGGGGGAAGCCGCAAGCCCATGTGGTACTGCAGGTTCCGGGCCGAGTAGGCGATGTGAGTGGCTTCTGCTCTGTGGCGCACCATCAACGACTGGAAGAACAGCGAGATAAACTTGACCGAGTCCCGCACATCGGGGGCATCCGCGCAGCAAGTGGCCAACGCGTTGTGGAAGGGGATCACTCCGGTCTTGACCCAGTCGGAAAAGTCGCTCGGCAGCACGCCGAGGTTCAGCACGCGGGAGGCGAGCATCAGTATCCCTAGCAAGTCCACCGTCGTGAAATTGGCGAGCAGATCCTGTCGTCGATCACGCTTCGCTTTGTATCCGCTATACTTTTTCTTTGGCTTGCTCTCTCCGTCGATCTCGACGTCAGCGTTCTTCTGCTTCTTTTTCTTCTTGTTGTTGGTCTTCTTATTGTTTTTCTTCTTGTTCCTCTTCTTTTTGCCGCGACCCTTTCTCTCCTCATCCTCTTCTTCATCCTCTTCATCCTCTTCTTGCTCCTCCTCCTCCTCTTCATCATCATCATCATCATCATCATCCTGCCCCTTCGTCTCCTCTTCGTCGTCGTCATCCTCTTCCTTCTCTTTCTTCTTCTCCCACTCGGCGTCCCACTGCTCCAGCAAGTCCAAGGTCACTGCCGGGTCCACCTTCTCGGCCTCCTCCTTGGTCATGTGCAGGAAGAACTCGTTGTAGCAGCGCAGCAGCGGCTTGGAGCCCTTGACGCCCCACGTGTGCAGGAACTTGAACCAGATCTCCTTGACCGCGTTCGGGTACTCGTCCGCGGGGAACACGTGGGCGCCCACGTGCTCCACGAGCGCGCGCGCCATGGCGTCCAACACCATCTGCGTGGCCACGACGCAGTCCAGCAGCGGCGGCAGCTTGGGGTTCTCGCGCGCCTTCTTCTCCTTCTTGGGCCTCTTGCTGCGCGGCTCCTCGATGACGTTGCCGTCCGCGTCGCGCTTCTTCTTGCGCACCGTACGGCGCTTGAGCGTCTTGATCACGGTGACGAAGTCCATGCCCATGTCCTCCACGTCCTGCGTCTCGTTGCGCGCCTGCAGGAAGCTCTGCGTGCCGCACAGCTCGCACACCATCTCGCCGAAGTAGTTCTGGCTGAAGAACGAGTCGCCCGTGGCGCCGCAGTTCTGGCACTCCAACATGGCGGCGCGTGTGCAGGGACCAAGAGAGAGAGAGAGACACACACACACGCAGAGCAGCAAGGTGCCGAGCAGCTACCAAAGCTGTGACTGTTGGCTCGGTTGGTTTGAAGGGCGTGTTGCTATAAGGGTTAAGGTTAGAATCTGAGTCTCTGAGTCCAAATATCTGATTCAGAGACTTAGTCTTGATGAAGCCATTCCACCGTCCACGTTGTCGTCATGCAGCCTGCATGATGCAGGAGCTTAGGAATGCAGAATGGTAGGAAGAGGATGGGGTGTGTACAATGTAATTTAGCGTGCAGCGCAAGACGCCGCAGTTTTTTCATTGATTTGGCAGGGTTTAGACCACACACGCACGCAACAGGCTTACAGCTTGTTCATGGAGGCGATGTCCACCGACTGCACGTAGTCCTCGAAGCCCTCGATGGCCTCCGTGATGTCGTCGAGCAGCACGAGGTCGTCGATAATGACGCACTGCACCAGCAGCTTCTTGATGCCGAAGGCCACGGGCACCAGCTTGTGGCCCTCGCCCCAGGTCAGGCCCTCCACGGGCAGCGCCTTGATCTTGGCGGCCAGCTCCTCGAGGTCCGTCTCGGCCTCCCACGGCTTGACCTCGATCACGACCTGCGAGCGCTCCACGGGCTTCTTCTTCTCCTTCTTGGCGGCCTTGGCGGCCTCGGCGCGCTTGGCGGCCAGGGCCTTGGCGGCCTCGTCGTCCTCCTCGTCGTCGTCGCCGAACAGGTCGTCGTCATCGTCGTCCTCCTCCTCCTCGACCTTCTTGGGGGCGGGGGCGGCCTTCTTGGGGGCGGCGGCCTTCTTGGCAGGGGCGGCCTTCTTAGGGGCGGCGATCTGCTTCATGGGCTTGGCGCCCTTGGTCGGGTGCAGCACCGAGAACTTGGTGGTCTTCACCAGCTGGAACTTGGTCATGTCGGTCGGCATCTTGAACGGAGTGGGAGACAGAGAGTCGATTCGCTACTGAGCAGCTACGATAAGGATGAGGGGGTGCTAGGATTTTCTTGGATCTGGAGCCATCCGTTTCTATTGCGAAATTTAGGGTAAGCTACCCGAAATGTGACAGTAGGCCAGGCGCAATTGCTCAAACTTTGACAAGCATGAAGGAGCTGCAGCGCGTGCTGGAGGCGTACCGCGCCATGGAGCCCGTGCGCGACGTCATCGGGATGATCAAGACGCAGTTCGCGGAGCAGCAGCGCTGGGCATCGCTGGACTTGCAGGTGCAAAATGGAGATGGACCATTTCAAGTTGACAGTGTTTCTGAAGGATCCATACCCCGCTGCTACTATTGTGTTAGGCTCAAGTGATGCAGACAGTGGTGAACGACCCGGTTTGCGACGACTTTGCGCCGCAGAGGAAGTACACGTACAGGTTCCTCAAAAGCTACGTGGATGGTAAGGTCGACTGTAATATACCCGTTTAAATTTCAGACTACGCGCTGACGGTTGTGGCTTGTGTTGACAGAGATTGAGGCCGTGTCTGCGGATGTGGACGACGGGCTGGTGGAGGCGCTGATGGAGTTTGTTCTGAACGCCAAGCTGGCGGACGAATCGCTCAACTCGGAGGCCATGCACCACGTGTCGTACACAGTGCCAACCGCCGACTCGTCCGTCGTCGTGACTTGCCGCGTGGCTTCAGTGTTTAACGAGGTGGGGCTCAAGCTCTGGGAGGCAGGTTGGCTGCTGGCGGAGTACGCAATCGCCCACGAAAGCGACTTCCGCGACCGGAAGGTGCTGGAGTTGGGTGCTGGCGTCGGCTTTACGGGGATGGTGCTGGCCTGCGTGTGCCGCTCGAGCCGCATCGTTTTGACGGATTATGCGCCGAACGTGATGCAGAATCTGCGCTACAACGTCGAGATCAACGCGAGCAAGTTCCTCTGTCCGGTCGAGGTGCAAACGCTGGACTGGGAGACATGGCAGCCTACCGACCATGAGGACGAGCGGCCGGACGTCTTGCTAGCGGGAGATTGCGTCTACGATGTCGAGGCCTTCCCGCCCATGATGCACGTCCTGCAGTCGTTCCTGGGCAACGACGAAGGCAGTACGGAGCAGCATCCGCAGCGCGTGGCGATTTTTGCGGCGACAATTCGCAACCAGAAAACGTTTCAGGCATTCCTCGACCTGCTCGCAGCGCACCGCATCGACTACGTTGATATCACGGCTGCATCGTTGGAAAAGATGGGAGATCCGATTTTCTCGTACCCAAACCGAGACCAGATCCGCATGTGTCGCCTGTCGAGAAGTATCCTGGCAGATACAAAATAGAAGTTGGAAAATGTTCACAGCGGCGTGTATAGGCGTGCATTTTGTGGCCTTACATGGAGTTCATTTTGGTTTTGAAGAAGCAAGCGCAAACGAGGAACGCTAGTAGGCTAACTGCACCGCCAGCGAAGACAGGTAATCTGTAGCCCATCGACGTCTTCACAAGCGCAGAACCCACAGTAAAGTTGAGCAGCTGGCCGGAAGAATTTACTGCGTTTATAACGCCAACGTACACGCCGATGTCAGCAGTGTGGCCGAATACGTGGACGATGACAGGCACAATCATCGAGAAGAACGTGCTCATGGCGATAGATGAGAAAGCTACGATGGTCACGTCCAGAGCTACGACGTCGCAGAATGCCATGACCATCAGGAGCACCTGCGGAATTGTTGCGAGTGTTGCTACGTTTTTGGCTCCGTATCGCCGTACCAGTGGGGGAAGAACCCATGTGTACAAGTACCCGACAACGCAAGACAGCATATCGGCGAGACCTCCAGCAAGCTTTACTCCGCGGTTGTAATCCAGCTGAGCCTCTGAACATTCATCTCCACGCGTGGCAGAATTGGTGGCATCTCCTCGAGACCGAAGAACATTCCCTTGTTGGCGTTGTAGGCTGCGAAAGCGTACTGGTTGAGGAAAATGACGACGCAGAACACCGTGAGCACCCCTGGGAGAGTAAGCACTGCTGTGAAAATTGAGCCAAATGCATACGTCGCGTTCTGACAGCAATTTCTCTTCTCCAGCATTCTTCGATCCAGTGGCGTCTCTTTGGCCACGTAACAAGCTGCTCCGACACAAAATGCCATGAAGAAGGACAACATCCCCAGGAACCAGTGCAGTGAGTTGTACGCCGCTCCGAAAAACTCCGTGTACACTGCAATTACGATCGCTCCAAGTGTCGCCCACCCTTGCCCCATGGCAGCGCCGATAGTCTGTCGACTTCCCGCAAAGACCGAGATGAGCAGCAGCGCTGGCGTCTGCGCAACATTGAAGGCAATACCCGTGCAGACGTAGAAGAAAACCGTGAGCACTGCAGTCCATTTCCGGTCTGTGACTTCTCCCGGTTTGCCAGTCCCCACGTCGCCCAAGGCGTCTCCAAGCTCCCGAGTGTATCCCGTGAGTATCCAGCAGATAATACTCCCGACTGCAGCCACGATGAGGAATGGACGACGACGGCCAAACCTCGAAGTGAGTCGGTCTGAGTACACACCGATAATTGGAGCGATCAGGACACCGCTGAGTGGTCCCGAGAGTTGGGCCAACTGCACCGCGTAGCTTGGAAGCATAGTCTACAAATAGGGCCCCAGCGCTGCCCACTGAGCTGCCCGCACCATTCGAGTGGCCATTCGAGGCATCGAAATGACCAGTTAAGCCCCAAACGAAGCACTCGGTGGGGCTGTCTCCTCTTGTTCCTCTAACATGGGACTTGAAACCATCCTTCGGCGTCTCCGGCGTCGCGAGCGAGTCAAACTCGACGCGCGACGTCCTGATCTCAATGCTTTCGAGCAGCCTGGTGCTCATTCTGGTTAGATGAAGTGATAAGTTGAACGCTTGAGGTCGTAAGTGAAGCAATCACGCAGGTTATGGCATTCCACGTGAGGACCACTATGTCTCGAACGCCGATTATTGGTCAGTGATTACAGTCTGCCCCGGCAAATCTGGAAAGGCCGGACCAATTGAAACTGCGAGGTTGCGAAACTTGCAAAGAACTTGACAGAAGTGTCAATGTACTGAATTACTCAATTAATGAGAAAGTAGCCGTCGGCTCAGTTTTCATGCAGAGCGCGGTCGTTGAGGTGGGTCGGCGATATAATACTGTATCGCCGAATATCGCCGATATTCTTGTGTTTGAACTTGTACATGTAGTGAAGAGTTTGTCTTGGTCGCGGAGCATCGCGTCACGTAGACCGCTGCCTGGGACGGTCGTTTAGGGAGTTCTAATGTCCGTACTGCCCCATCGTTCAGGGCAAGGTACTGTCGCCCGTGCCGTATGCCGTCATGATTGCATCGTGCTACAGCAATAACTTATCTAAAGTTTATTATGAGCCTTTCACTATTTAGCAACTTGCGCTAGAAGGCCTGGTCCCTCCATTTTTCACTAAACTCAGTACCCATCATCCAGCAAGCGCAAGCTCTGCGAGGTACATTCGACATCGCTATTCCAGGTATGCCGGGGAGATCTGTACAACTCAGTGAGAGTTTGAGAGTGGCTCACGTGGGCAGGAAACGACAAGGTGCACATCCATGCGTGGCTCGCACCGGCTTCTTGGTCCTGCATCTGGGATTACTGCGTAGATCGTCAACAGTTTATGTTGAGACTATTTTACTGGGAGGACAGCTTTAGCTGGCTGAACAGCCTAACCAATTTTATTTCAGCTGCCGGGAGCCCCCCCCCCAACTTTGAGTCCATAGTCCACAGATTATGGCTACCGTAACATCAAGGAGTTTGTACGTTTCGTGGCTGGTTGTTCCCAGAATGTCGACCGTATCCGTGAGGAAACGTTCAGGAAAAAGTGAATAACACCAAATAGATAGAACCGGTACAGCTCACGGTCCGGCAGTGGACGATGAACGGTCCGGCAGTGGACGATGGACGGTCCATTCCACAGGCTTGTCTGGCGCAGCACGCTGCTAATTTCTCATAAAGGGGGCATAGCTCAATGTCGGCGTGTATCACTCACTACGAGGAAGCTCGCGGCGGATTCCAACAAATGCAGATTATGTCTCCTCGCATGGATTACCACGCCAGGAGTATTTTCGACCCTCAGGCACTACTTTAGGGGGCTTAAGAGATGTACGGCCGGCGCAGAAGTGATTTACTCGTATGGACCTTACAGGATAGTATGTTCTAAAGAGTCTGCCACTACGCTCGCGCGTCTGGGAGGTGTGTGGCGAGCACAGAACTCATTTGCTCGCATGGAACATTCAGGCTAACATAATGCGAAGCGATTCACACTAAGAGTACGCGTCCTAGAGGGTTTGGATGGGAGCAGGAGCCATCTGCTCGCATGGAACATGTAGATAAGGATATCGCGAACACGCGCAGGGGTAGTTTTAGACTGTGGCCTAGTACAGCAGTGACTTACAGACTGATGGCATCCTACTCCTAGATTCACGCTATCCAAGCTCGTACGAGGCTAAAGCTCATATGTACATGTAGCCCTAAGTGTAACATAATTGTAATACAAGCCTCTAACGTGGTGAAGCCAAGCAGAGCCAGCAGGACCAAGAGCTGGTGGCAACTGCCGCGGCGAGACTACAGGCTGTAGTTATGTGATCTTGCTATTGGTGTAAGGCATAACCCCGCCACACACGACATCCTGTCCGCAGGCTAGCCATATAGTAGTTGAATACACTTGAATTCGAACAGTATGCAAAGTAAACCACAATTCGTTAAAGCTACTATGCTGCAGGTTAATCAGCTTCGCCTCAGTGAATCTAGGGAGCACTTAGCTGTCGCGGAAATAAAGTAAATCGCAAGTTATAGCGATAGCTACGTATTCTTGTCCTGCTTCGTGTAATCAACCATGGACACACGACATTTTTGGTAAGCCCAGTCGTCTTAATAAATGCAGCTACCTCACCTAAAGTGTCCTAACAAAACTACTTGAAGTAACCTTGCTTATCGCGCTACCTTTCTTACGAGGAATTCTTCTTTATGCAAGCTACCTAGGTAGATTGGGTCGGTCGTCACATGAGGCGTGAGAACAGGAGCTTCATAGATGCCTCAGACTGTGAAAACTGCGCCGACTCGTACCAGCTCCGCTCAAAGGAACTAAAACTAACGCCTCAATGAAGCATCTGCATGTGTTGTGCTCAGCCATATTCCATGCGAAGAAATGCCAACAAGCGCCTTAGTACGTGCTCATGTTACATCAATTTTTTAGTACGCCAGGTCAGTAACAGCTAATATCGTTGCTGGTGGTCGATTTACAGGCCATAGCGGAGGTAAGTGTCTGATGATCAGTCAAGCGGTGGTGAGTTTCTCACATTGAGGGTCCCACGCGAGGCCTAAAGAAGAAATGCGCGCATGCGTCGTGTGTATATAGTCCCTATAAAGTTATCTATCGAGCTGTTGGCAGCCCCAAACGCTCGCTCGAGTCGCAGAACGCTGATAGTCGATCTTGCTGGTATTTCCCTGCGACTTGGGATGCCGGTTGCGGCACGACGAATGACCAATTCCCTAATTCCTCGTATGGATTATCTAGATCTAACCAATATAAAGGGGGTGCAGGCCCCGTATAGTGGATTATCAGCGAAGCAGTGGTGCAGGACTGCATAATGCTGCGCCGCCAGCGGCACGTTGCAAGTTGCCTCTAGCGACTGTGCGCTGATTGGCTGAACGCCGAGCTCATTAAGCTCGGCGGCTGGCCTGTTTCACGTGCTGGTCTGCCCTGTTGCTTGTCTGGTGCAGTGCCGTGCAATATGGTGCTGCTCACGTATTTTATGGTGCTGAAACAAGTTTTTGGTGCTAGTCCCAGTTTTGAGGTGTTGCTCACCGTCTCACCGTATCCGTAGCGTGTACCACTGTGGTCCACTGCAGTGTGTGGTACTACCACACACTGTAGAGAAGGCCCCAGGTACTTGACCTGGTGGCGTATATTTAGGCACTTATTTCGGAGCCTGCTGGAAGCGGGCACTTTGACGTCGAAGTGAGTTACCCTAAATTATTCCTAGCTGATCGGTTTCCCTTCCTGAGGTCGTGGTGAGGCGGCGGTTTGAGTGACTTGGGGATGTAGTGATGGAGGTAGTCGGGGGTCGGAAATAGACTTACGTGGCTTTTTGTATCGGAATCGCTCCGGGCGAGACTAGAACCCTCAGTGGAACGCTTGATCTTCGTGAGCATTACCCACAGGAACACTAGGAGCCCCCCTCTACCACACTGTAGTGAACTTATGAAATTTATTCGGACAATCATAACTAGGATAGCTGCATTGTTTCGTTATAAGCAAACATTTACTCAAAATCATTGAAATAACAACTAACGGATTGCACTCTTTCCTGCGTCTGTAAATTGACTAAACCCCATGAATCCTTCTTGTGTAAATTTGTATAGCTGGAATGCATGACCTCAACGCGCTCGGCCGGGGGCTTTGCCCCCGGCCGAGCGCGCCTTTAAGTTCTTTCGTATCTTTTGCGCGGCAACTTCGCCATTTTTTTTAGGGCGCTACACCAGGGTTTGAAAACTTGCCACCAACTTTCATGTTACATTATTCTTGCCTACCGCACGTTTATAAATTTAGGCACACAAAGGAAGTCTACACTGTCCTCCCAGACCAAAGCTTCGCCTCTAGTAATACTAGTAGGCGGGTGTTGCTGTCACGAGCAAATTACAGAAAAGATACATGCTTGTGACAGTGTCGTCGTGGACACCACTACCCCTATAAATGATTGGAGGTGAAACCGATAAGACTCACCAGCAAGTCACAAGCTGCCACAAGCAACCACAAGCAACCACAAGCACAATCGCGCGTCTACTACGAGCCTTTTTAGTGAGGCTCAACTCGTGTCAGCCTCACGGTAAACTTAAATAATGCAATGGATGTTGCAAGCCAGCCGAGCGTGTTCACTAACAGTGCTAGATTGCAGGAACTTGAAAACTGAAGTCCTCATAAGTGATTTCAACAAACTCAGGAGGGTCGAAACAACAACAGGGAAGGCCAATGCTGTTGTTGCTCCAGGGTCATCTTCCGACTTCCCTGTAGATTAAATGAGAAACACGAATTGTATCTCAAGTGCAGTATTGTCTAGCTTTACTACCAATCCTAGCTACCACGAAAGTGAGGGTGGTATGCCTCCAACCCCTGCTTAAAAGTCTGAAACGCAAGGTTTCAAGAATGTTTCGTGATACTTCAGGAATCGGTAGCTGATTGATATAGAGACTCGCGTAAATCATGATCATCAAGCCGCAATTGTGTCCGTCGATTTGTCGAAGAGCGGTCATTCGTTCGACAGTGAATTCTTCTCGTAGTACCACAGTCAGATATCGATCGCAGAGATCTTGAAGTTGAGAGTAGTTGGAGAGGTTTTGCTGAGGGTCGAATGGGGTGGGTGTGAGTGGTGTTTTGCTTGGTGACGCAGACGTACAGATAGGTGGACTCGTCTTCCGGGTCCCACGCTTGTTTAAGCGTAACGGATAGACTTGCTTTGCATTCCATGCCTCTTGAATGCTGAACTGGTCTTTTCCCTGTACCTATAATACACTAATTAGCTGGTGATGGCATGTTCCTTTCACCGTTGTTCGAATGAATTACCTCGCTGACGCGGCTTCCAACCATGGGTACAAACGTACGATTTTGTGTAGAACTCGCCGCAAGAATTGTCGTCGATGGACGTCTTTTTTCTTTCTTGACGCTTTTGCAAAGTCTCCGAGCTACGAACTCTAAAACACACACGGATGTCAGCGAATCTCGTGAGCGGCACCAACTACGTAATCGAACCTGTATGCTTGAAAGGTGGATTGGCAGTACGAGTCGAATTCCTCGTAGAATTCGGCCCATGTAGTCCGCTGAAGAGGCTCACACACATAGCCCGAGAGGCCATGCACGCTCGACGGAGTTATGAGGATGGAAGTCATTGCGTCGGTTAAGCATGCCACTTTAAAAATAACACAGTGCTAAAACAACTCAGAGATATTCACCATTCGTATACGCAGTTTAGATTTGTTGATACCCATCAGCAGACCACTCCAAAAGTGGGAAAATTTCAAAAATTCCCGCATTTCCCACTTTCTGGCAAATTGGGAATCCGATACAATCTCTAACAACGCCCCACATAGGGTGGGAACAAATATTAGTAACATTCCCACCTTTGAGCTGAGGAGGCTATACAGATTTGTGGTGCAAAACATACGTTTGTTTACAAACAAACGCAGGCATAACATAACGGCGAGGGTCGAACTATAAACTGCCGAACGGCAGAATTGCCCAGGTCTCTTATCGTAGTGGCAGAATTACCCCGAAGCCTTAGATGCCCGGCAGAATTGCTCTTACACTTAGCTGAGCGCCTTAACTTGAACATACATAATCGATTCCAGCGTCTAGAAGCCACTCACGTCTACGACTCGTCATATCGCTTCCTGTACCAGCATGTCAACATGGACCCAGCTCGCTTTGCTCGACAGTGGTGATGAATACGAGTTTTATCGGGACCAGTACATGTGCTGCACGGCAACCTCCACGAAAGTCGACTTCGAGTTTTGCCGCATCTGTGGTGGAAAACATACAATGGTAGAGCGGCGCCTAAAGTGTTCCAGCAAAACGTGCAGTGGGTTTGGCGTCTGTAGTGCGATTTGGAAGGTTGATGAGTGCACCGACCAGGATAAGTGGCGAATATTGGTGAACTCGAATGGTCACTCACAAGGCGTCCTTCGCCCTATGAAGACATTTATTGCTGCACAGGACGAGGCTGGTCTGCCTCCGAGGGTTATCCTAGTGAATATTAAGAAGCAGGCCGATATCAAGCCATCTAGCGGTGGGTGGCCGGAGCTTTCGCAGATTCAAAACGCATCGAAGCGTATCAGAAGGGAACAAGGAGCCAAAAATTCTATTAAGTCGATTCACAAACTGGCCCGCACGCGCTGCTACAAGCCAACTCTTTCACCAGAGGCAGCATTCGTAGTTGGCCCCAAACAGGACACTGACGGTCTCGCGTATATTGGATCTGGAGAGGACGATGATCCTTTCATAGTTGGCCTCACCTCTGTTGCAATGATTGATAGTTGCGTGAAGTTTGCTACTGGAGATGGTAACATTTTGTTCCACGCCGATGCCACTTTCAAGTTAAGTGACAATGGTTACCCAGTGATAACTTGTGGTTTTACGGACCAACGCCGTGCATATCAAGTCGGTGCTGTCTTTGTTGTAAGCCGGCGGACTGAGCATGAGTGCACAGAGTGCTTCAAAGCGCTTGTCGAATTAGTGCGCAGCTTTCGAGGAGTTTCATTACGCTGTGAATTTACGATGAGCGATGCGGAGGACGCACAGTTTCTAGCGCTTCAAAACGTTCCGAGTTTTACGAACTCAACCAAGTTAATGTGTTTCTTTCACGTTCTGTATAACGTGCGAAAGAGAACACAGCATCTCCCGATCGATGAAAGAAAACTTGTGATGGCCTCCATCATGGACATGCACTTTTCACGCAGTTTGGTGGAATACGAATACAAACGAGATATTCGCATTGCAGAATGGAAGGAAAAGACTCAACTCGTTGTATTTCCAGATTATTTCGAGCAGCAATGGCTGAAAGGAATGTACTGGAGGTGGCAAATGTTTCACACTCCTGAAGGGTGCGCAACCACAAACAACCCTTGCGAAAACCTGAATGGCAGTCTAAAGCATTTTCTCCAGCGTCGTCGTTTTGATATGCGGAGACTGTTACTTAAGATTTGTGATTTCATTGAAACTTTGTCCCGACCCCAACTTCCGATTTGAATAAGGCTGCTGCTGCGTTGTTGGAGACATCCCGGTTGTTATTAATCCAACTCGCTGTGCGAGCAAAGTGCGTGTTGTTGAAGTAAGCAGTGCAGATGGCATTGACGGTGACGATGGAGATCAAGAATTTCTGTCCATCTTTAACGAAGGGGTCTACTTGGGTGGTTCTTCTACTACAAGTAGTGCAGATACGCAGCTTGACCGCATTGCACTCTTTCGCATGTTGACTTCAGGTCAAGCTGACAATCCTTCGGTACTCACAGCGTCCGATGCGAACGTATCTGATTTGAGAGCGAGTAGCGATACTTTACGAGATCACTCAGACGAATTTGGGGAAGATGGTCGGAGGCTGTGGGGCTCCGTCTTGATGGTCCTCATTATTTTGAAGGTTGGGTTGAGTATACATCTGAGTATCGTGAGGGTCCGCTTGATGCATGCCAATAGGCACAACTCGCGGAACTTGAAGATCCTGTTGGGCACCTGAGAGCTCAATAACCTCGTCGTTCCTGTGTCTCTCATCTATAATTCCATTAGTTTCCACAGGAAATGATCGGTCAATCGCTTCGTTCACCGGCGCCTAATTGAAGGCGAAATAGCAAATCAAGGCCTTGCGTAAGCGAGTACCACCACGACCTCGAAGCCATTTGGAGTCACGGGCCCTACGGTTCTCCTCCGACAGTGCAAGCCGTTCCGATGCGTAGCTGCGGGCGTGGTCGTTGCCATGAATCGAAGCATAGCCCCAGACAGCTTCATGAGCCCTCATGTAGCAGCCAAGGGCCTTGTTTAGAAGTGAGATGCAAACCAGGACGCATGCTACAGGAGGTGTCTTGCTATATATAGGCTGTGCGAAGTACCTTGCCGTCAAGTACATATTAAACATAACTTCTCAAAAGCGCTGTTCAGTAGATTGTGAGCTCGTTATGAAGTGTTAGAGCAACCAGAAGTGTAAAACTGGGATTATGCGTGCTATAGTGCTATATATATGATATGCGATATAGTGAACTCTTCATGAAGTGTTAGAGCAACCAAAAGTGTCAGACTGGGATTATGTGTGCTACAGTGCTATTTATACGATGTGGTCTACGCCAAATATAAATTCGAGGAAACGAATCCATAATGGGGGGCGTAGATGTGTATACTGACAAGTTGCGATCAATTCTGACCTGGGATTATGCGTGGGATGGTAACTATGTATACCACATGCGATGTGGCTTTACGTTCGATGTTAATCCAACAAAACTAGGCTGGTCGGATATGTATGAGATAAGAAGTGTTGTGTGAGACTGGGGTGTATTACGTGCAGCATCCGTGAACTTAGCTGGGCTTACAGACGGGTTTCCTTTCTAATATTAAGGACTAGTGGATATCGTATAAAATATATGTACAGAAAGTTATTGACCCCACGGATTACTCTGTCACCGGATGGAGAGCACGCACGAGAAGAAAACAATAGGAAAAAGACTTATGACGACCTAACATTTACAACAGAGTTTAATTTACCGTCAACTTCAAATTGGTCTCCATCTTCGCACTACAGGGCACGGCAGACCAAGACAACCCCCCCCCCGGAGGATTCTCCCGGGGGAGGCTAAGGCCTGGAGGTCCCCTTAGCAGGAACTTGTTTTTCGGTCCGCGGGTGAGGAATGCCCAGCGACAGGTACGCAAGTTGAGGGTCAGCGACTTCATCAAAAGAACGAACTACCCCAAGCTAGCAATGTTAGGTCGATTGTATCGATACAGCACCTGATACATGGCATCGGATTGTAATTTCGCGGGCATTTGGTCGCGGAACAAAAGCGAGTAAACCGTTAAATACTGATCTATGCAAGTACATCACTAAGGGCATGGCGCCCACCCATGCCACGAGATTCGGGGCGCGTGAAACATCATTTATAATACTTTGTTGTACAACTACGGTGCTACGATAAGGGATAAGTTCATTTGACTTCTGTATTGGAGACGCCTAGTATGTATGACGACTGGGTATTAATTCCTAAGCAAGAATCCTAAGAATTGACAAGATATATAATAGAAGGATACGAAGGGGGCCAGTATATAAACGTAAGAGTGTAATACACAGAGAAAAATATCTTAAAGCGCGTCGTTCTCTGAATAACTTATTATAGGTACCGTACTTCAAAACAATAAATTCTTAACAACAGGCCTGCAGTTTGTAGCGCTCGTCGGATGACTTTGAATTAAAAGTGTACGTTATAAACAATCAGAATGCAGTATTGAGTAAAATCTTAACACAAAAACTGCAGGTTTATTTTTTAAAAAATCGGGGCGTTATGACGTTAATATGAGTGCAGTTTCAAAATCTCAAACTGCATTAAATTTTTACGGAAAACATATTTGTGTTGGTATTGTGGATTTCACGCATTTTGGCGTGGACTAGCCATTTCGTGACGGTTTATACCAGAGCCCAACACGAATAATCAGGGAGCGAATAACAGTTTGAGCAGGTTTCGCGAGTTGAAAGACGAGTAGAGATATAGCAAGCGATTTGTCGAGCTCTTTTAACGAATGGCGGCTGCAGCTCCCGCCATTCGTTACAGTATTTCAAGCCACTAAATCATCTCTGTGCTGGCGTGCAATCACGAAATCGAGCGACCTTCGTTGGCCTGTTACCCTTGTTCATGCCTATGACGTAGAAATTGTCAACGTGTTGGCGCGCATTTACCGTCGATTTGACGTAGATAGCGTCGTCGGCAGGCGATATCACAGCGGTATCAAACGCTTCAGCCTCTCCTTTAGGACAGTGTAGCCCTCACGCACCGATAGAAGCTTTATGTACTATCCTGCACTCTGTCAGTGGCTTGTCGACCTTGATCGTCACGACAGCGTCTCAGAGCGCAGGTAGCGTGGGTAGTTCGGTCACCATTTCGTCCGTGGGCAGGTAGGTGTCTGTGGTGCTGACGCAAGGCGAAATGCATAGTTTTTGCACAACGACTTCTTTATATAGTCAAGACGATTTATGCAACGAATAGAGGGCGTGTTCATGAGTCTTCGGGAGCGCCGCCAATAGATGCACATGGACGAGGAGAACGTGTGGACACATCCGCCGATGACTCGGAGGATCCGACGGCGACGGGAGAGCCGGCGGCAGCCGGGATCTGGATATACCAATGGCTGGTCAGGGAGACCCAAGTATACTGAGATCAAGTCAATCGGAACCCGGGAGTAATCCGTCTGATGAGAGGCACCAACGAGCACAAGGAGAACAAGAAGGAAAGCAGGAGGGGAAGACTAGAGAGTAGTTTGAGAGACGATAACATTTAATCTCACTTCGGAATTTGTCCCCTCAACCACAAGCTACAAACCAACAGGTTAACAGCCGCAACAAGCTCAAGCCCTCCCCGACAACCGACATGACGACGTCCAGCAAGAAGGTCGAAGTCATCCTGGGAAGTGACAATTACTTCCACTGGGAGTTCGCGATGCGTATGACGCTCGTGAGGAAGGGGCTGCTGGCGCACGTCCAAGTGGTGAAGGACCCGACAGAGATGACGGAGGCCTGGATGCTCAACGACATCAAGGCGCTCGGTCTGATCGCTCAAGGCGTGGCTGTGGAACACCACACGAAGATTCGGTCGGCGACGTCGGCTATCCAAGCCTGGAATACTCTACGCGAGTTCTACAACCGGACGACGATGCATAATCGGGTCACGATGACTCGTCTGAGTTCAAGATGAAGGACGGTGCGACGATGGCGAAGCACCTGGACAAGTTCGACGAGCTGATCGTGGGCCTTCAGACGCTTGGAGAGCCCCTCGATGACTCCCGACAACTCGTCATCCTGCTGAGCAGCTTGCCGGTGGAGTACGAGTTGATCGCATCCATCGTCGAGAACTCGAAGGACGTGACCCTCATCGAGGTGAAGGAGAAGCTGCTCAAGGAGTACGAGCGGCAGGAGAAGAAGGAGACCACGGAGCGCGCGTTGAAGGCTACCTCGTTCGGAGGTAGGGGCCAGAACGGGAAGTTCGGCAAGGGCGGCAAGGCATTCGGCCGCAAGCGCAACGGTGGACGAAAGGTCGGTGGCTTCAAGGGCAAGTGCTTCAACTGTGACCAAGTGGGCCACATAAAGCGGGACTGCCCGGAAAAGCAAATAGAGACACCGCCGAAGAAGGGTGATTTTCAATTTTAAGACATCTCTTAGCCAATCAAAAGATGTTTACATGCTAAACTTCACATAAATTTCAAGAACATTATAAGCACTCAACGTTCTATACGGTTTGGTTGAGGTATACAAATTGGCGTAGGTACAATAGCTTTGTATACTGAGCACATTCTATCAGATTTGAGAGGAGGTATTCAATTCGGGAAGGGTACGCTATTTGGCGCTATCCGTTAAGTATTTTCCTGACGGGAAGGTGATTCCCTTCATTTCATTTTCATCCGGGCTTCAGGAACAAACTTTGCCAGGAGGTCTTTCACCGTCTTGGCCGCGATAGTTTCCGCCAGATCGAAGGTCACTCCAGGAATCTCGTACACGTCCATGATCTTCGTGAATATTAACCCTATCGTTAACGCCATGCATTTCTGTTTGAAGGGACACCATACAAACTTTAAGTAAAACGGGGTAAAATGATGCATGAGGTATCATTTTGCTGTATTAGGTTTGCGAGGCCAACTGATCAAAAGTATACGTGATGGGAGGTTTGAAGCGACCTTTCGATCAAAAAGATACGTGAGGCATCATTTTACTGGTTCTCTGTGATTCGCTGCGAATCGACAAAAGTATCAGTGGAAGCAGTACCGTGAGAACAGCACCCTAACAAAACTTTAGTAAGAGCGGTACCGTGGATCACAGCGCCATCTTGTGGATTATGTGGGGCTTTTCCTAGTTGTGAAGCGGCGGCGCCGTGGTCTCCGATGCGACGCTGGCGAATATGGCGGCTGTCCTGGACCTGGCCGGAGCGTCTCCGACGGCGGCGACAAGCACGCGATGACTG